AAGGTGCTGCTGGATGGTGGCTGGTGCTGGCACAGGGCTGACCCCCACCGTGCTTTCCCTCTCTGCTACGATGGTGCTTTGAATCTAGGGTGACATCACCCATAGCACGACTGTCACACACAACTTCTGCTTGTGAGGGGTTCCATTTTGGCTGGTTTAGTGCCTTGAACCACCTCCGGATGAGGTGTTGGAGCAGAGCTGCTGGTGGTGTAAGGAATAAGGACCAAGGAGTGTGATCTGAGCCTGGCTGGTCGGATTGCAGCCTTGCTCTGCCCAGTTTTGAGGTAGGGGCCTCGCTCTTTGGATCTTTTCACCATTAAAATATTGGTGCTCTGAGGCCAAGGGATCTATATTTTTCACCACTAAATTTGAGCCCTTCCTGTGACGCTGCACCACACACGTTTGCCATCTTGTTTGAGGTGGAAGGTGGTAGCAACTATCCAGATCTTCATTTACAGGTGTATGTGGAGGTTCCTCTCATTAAATTATCTTAATTTATGAGGCTTCTGGTTGCAAGGTTCCTCTCATTAGATTATCTTAATTTATGAGGCTTCTGGTTGCACCTTGATCTCTTCTTTTCAGTGGCAACATCCTTCGAGCCTGGCACCAAACACAGCAGCATCATCTGCCTTTGCACACAGAGAGGTAGGGTTAGGAAGGCGTCCAGCCTGGCCAGAGCAGCTCCTGGAAAGTGCAGGATGTGATCCTTCCCAGTGAAGGAATGATTAATCCTGCCTGTGTGTCCCTGAGGACCCTGGCTCTCTGCTCTGCAGCGAAGGTGGCTGTTTTCTCCTGCAGCAAAGGAGGAAAAGATTCGTGGGGCTGGCAGGAAGGCGGCCGAGTTCTGCAGGGGATTTCTCTCCTTGCAGTGGACTCTACGATTTTTACATTTAAATGCAGAATATTTAACTTAAAACTCCTGAGTGAAGGGTGTGCTGGTGGTGTGTGTGCTTTGCAGATGGCTCGGGGCTCAGATTTGATCCTGTGTTCACAGGTTTCAGACATTTCTCTAGCCCAGTGCACCAAATGGATGCTGCTGTACGTGTGCTGCTACAAAAGGCGATGGGCAGAGCTTTGGTTCTGGCGCTGGCAGGCGTCTCTGCTGGGTCCTACAGCAACACGGCCGTGCTGCAGAGGAGTAGGTTGTAAAATGGAGACGGTGCAGGAGGGCTCGTGTGGAGGAGAACAGCAGAGCTGCTTTCAAGGAGCCGCCTTGTTCACTAAACCTGCTGGAAACGCCTTTTTCTGGCGCGTCGCTCCATCACATCCCACACCTCCCCGGGTGCAGCGAGCGCCCGTCTGAGAGCTCAGCTCCACGCTCTCTCATCACCCAGCACGGGTGTTTTCACCCCCTGGTCTGTTTGAGGGTGTTTGGTGTCTGGCTGGATAATAGAGTGATTTTTTAGGGGTGTTTTTCAGCTCTTCCATTGATTGAATTGCATTTCAATTCAGAGGAGCTCTCTCTGGGAGCTCAAGAAGGGTGTGACAGCACCCAGTGCCCTCCCAAACTGGCTGTATTCGGGGAAATGGGGGTGATCCTGTATCTGTCAGCCTTTCCCTGCCCTGGGATGTGTTGTGGTACCCACTGGAGCATGAAATAAGTCCTGCCAGTTTGTTTCTGACCTCATATTAATGAAGAAAATTGTGATAACCATAAGAAACTGCTGCCCACGGTAATAGTCCTGCTTGTGGGAGATTGCAAGCGTCCCCAGACCAGATGAGCCCTGCCAGGCTCCTTTTAACCACCGACCGCTGCGTGAAAGGGACCTTATTCAACTGCTTATCATGGGAACATCCTTTATAATTGTCCCCTGTGAGTGACAGAGAGGCGTGTGGCAGCCGTCAGTTCGTGGGGATGGATGTCTGTTTTTCTTTCTTCAGGCAACACAATCTCTCAGGAAAGCAGTTTCTTCCTCCTCGTGGTGAAATTTGCCAACCAAGGGAAAGGAGACTCTTGATGGGGCAGAATGCTGTCGTGCCATCGACTGTCCTATTCCTTTGAGACTCCAGTGGCATTTTTGGGAACTTTTCTTTCCTCTTTTCCCCCTCCCATCCAGGCACACATCAGTGTTAGTTTTCTGCTCTTGCTGGAAGAACACATTGATTTGTGTTTCCTTCCCTGCTGGATTCTTTTCGGTGGCAGCAGGTAGGGGGGACAGTCCCAGGATTTTGCCACGTGTAGAAGTTCAGCCACATCTCTGCCTGCAGCACAAGCCTTTGAAAAGCAGCACGGGGGAAATATTAGGCTTCCACCATTTTCTGTTAAATGAATAATGACTGGTACACGCCGGAATGCCGGTGAGCCCGCCTTAAAACCTACAGCAGCAGGGAAGATGCTCTGATTTCCAGGGGGTTGGGCTGAGCCTGGGATGGGAAGAGTCAAAGAGAATTAGCTGGTAAATAAGATCTCCTGCCTTCTCTTTGATCCGCTCTATGTGTTCAACTGCTTAAAGGCTTCCCAAGCAAGCAGGGTTTTGGGGGAGGAAGAATTTATCTACCCGTAGACCCGTCTCGTGGCTCCGTGAGATGCAGGACCGCAAGATGCTCTAGGAGGGGGCTGGGAAGAAATCCGAAGGTAGCCTGGTAAATCCCTGCTAAAGAGGCTTCTTTTCCTTCTATTCAGGAAGAGCCTGCTGAACAGACAGGGTGAGCTTTAAAACTACTGTTGCTTCCTTTTTTGCTGCCCTGTAAGCCCATCTGATCAGAGCTTTAATCTCGCTAAAGTTAGTGGACTTAGAGAAAGCCTGATCTTTGCATTGTGGTCTGGAATGAGAAGGGTGATCCAGAGGGCTGACACCTCCCCGGGCAGTGGTCGCCCTTAAACGCCCTCCTGAAAGTGCACAGGGAAAGCTGAGGGTGAAGGAGGCTGCTGTAGCGGTGATGAAAAAGGTTGGCTTTGACTTGGTCAGATAAGCCAGACAAAAAGTGAAAAAGAAGGGGAGGAAGGGGTGAAAGATCAAGGAAGGAAGATGCTTCCCAGAGAAGCTGTGGCTGCCCCATCCCTGGAGGGGTTCAAGGCCAGGTTGGAGGGGGCTTGGAGCAACCTGGTGTGGTGGGAGGTGTCCCTGTCCAGGGCAGGGGGTGGCACTGGATGGGCCTTCCACCCTGGCTTGTCCCCAGCCTGCTCCATGAACAGCTTTTTCACCTCCGTTTGCCTTGCAGGGAAGATGGGAATAACGATACGTCTTGGGCAAACCACCTCGTGCTTCTGTCAGTGGCAACTGATGCAAGATATTTGCCTTGCAGGGAAGATGGGAATAACAATACATTTTGGGCAAACCACCTTGTGCTTCTGTCAGTGGCAACTGATGCAAGATTTAGGGTTAAGATTCCTTCACTGCAAGACACTTGTGTGTGTTCCCTCGGGTGATTCCCAGCACATTCCTGATCTTGGAAGAGGCCACGTTTGTAGTGCCCTTTTATTTAGGCAGGGATAAAACCTTTTCCCGTCTCCGGAATCCAGCTTGGGCTGTGGGCTGGAGTTTGTGCGCCGGGATAATCTGGTCTCCTAATTGCCACCCTGCCTGGAGGCAGCTGCTGAACTGGGCCTAAGCAGATTTGGGCTGGCAAATTCTGTTAGTTTAATTCTCAGCAACACTGAGGAACTTGTCAGCACGGGAGGATCCCTTGGCTTTTTTCTCTAGCCACGAGCGTGCCCGGGAGACCTTTGCCAGCTGGTGACCCCAGCAGTTGGCTTGGAGAGCTCTGGGGGTTAGATCTGAAAGGGCTATTTACTGACGGGTCCCTGAGCCCTTGTGTCTTTGAACCCAGCTTTTCTGTTCCCTTTTGATGCTCTTTGTACAGAATCGTGGCATCTCATTGCCTGGGGCTTCTTATACCTCAGTGTTACTGCCCTCCCCTTTCCCCATCTCCTTTCCAGACGTGGGAATATGTCATTAACTGGTGTGGGAGTTTTTTATTGCCTGGTCTTGGTAACTTTTAGGTCCCAAATGGGTCCAGTGAAGCCAATGTGACCACCCTTGCTGTGCCTCAAAGCTGTTCTGCTGTGAACCCAAACCCATCTTGTGTCTGCATGGAAGGTGTCCTGCCCCTAGGGAAATGTGTCAAAAGTTCCCCAAGGAGTCACTTAAACTATAATGTGGAAAAACATGGAGGAAAAAAATGAAGAAAGATGCATTTTGGAGACTATTTCTTTTGCAACCCCCTCCTATTGTTTTAAGAGGCATTTGTCTGTATTTGAACCTGAGGGAAGTTTTTTTAGCCTCTTGACTAGATGACTTGAAACTCCGTATGATTTCTTAGCTCACTTCATATTAGGCAGTGCTTGTGATTAATGAGATCGCAGTCCATATTCCTTCCTCTGTCAGCATCTTGGAAAAACACTACTTGGAAAAGTACACAAAGGAGATGAAAAGGAAGTTGCTTATGAATTATGAACAGCCTTTCAGGCTGATGTTATTGCACGGGGCTGTCACTCCGTTTTAATTAAGTAATTCAGATGGAGTGATGCCTTTTTTAAAACCCTGTTGGTGTTTGATCACCTTTCAGAGGTAACGCTTAGATAGCTCATGTTTGTTGAATTTTCATTTTCAAGTAACAAGAAGCTGCCCTTACTGATTAAATAACGGAGGAGGAAGATGCTGCTGCGGCTGAGCACGAGACACAATAGCCGAGAGGCTGTATCTGCCCGTGTCTGGCAATTAGCTGGGTGATTGCTTGGACGTTTAGTGGCTGGTGTGAAAGATGGAGCTGCTGGGTTGGACCCAGCGATGGGTACCAGGGTGTGCAAATCCACACCCTGGATTTGCAGAGTCTTTCTCTCGAAGCCTTGGCGGCTGAAAATTTCTCATTCCTCTTTTCTTACCAGTGTGTGGCTAGTAAAACCCCGCACCCAGCCGCAAACGGATCTGCCAACGCCTGGTTTATTTTGGGATTTGTGTGTATGTAAATCGAGCCATTAGTTCCCAGGCTCGTGATCCCGGGAGCTGCGCAGTTGGAATCGCTGCAGATTGAGCCTCTACCTCTTCCCCTCTGATCCGGGGATAATCCCGGGGCTGTTGGGGAGCGGCGGCCGACGGATCGTGTCCTCTCGCCCCCGGGGGGGGGCTGTGGCCGTGGCCGTGGCCCTGCGTGTTGCCTGTGGGTGAGTGGGGTGCAGCTGCCGACCCCTTTTCCTCCCACAGGGCGATGGTGGGAGCACTCATCTCCTGGCACCAGAAGGGTGGCGGGGATGCCTTTTTGTGCTCCTTTGTGACAGCGCTAATGATGTCATCTGGCACAGATTACGCAGGGCTGAGCGGGCACCCAAGCACAGCTGTGTGGTCCCCGGCATCTGCTTTCTTCCCCCTCTGCTGCTGGGCCGGCTCTCAATAGGGTACGTTGTTTTCAGCCCTGGTTTTATTTACCTTTCACTGCGGCGAAACCTTTTTGCCCAAGGGATTAAAGCCTTCGGGCTGCCCCACTTAATTTAGGAGCTAAATCTTCCCAGCTGGAGAGTGCTGGAGGCTTTGTGCGTGGTTTGCTGGTGGGGTCAGCCTGAGTGGTGGCAGAATGGGGGCTCTGCTGGGTCTTTGTGCTGCTGTCTCTGTGTCCTGACTGCGCTCCAGAGGGATGTCCCGGGGTGCCCGTTCCCTGGCTGTGCAGGAATTGGAGCTGCAGACTCCATGGGGCTGTGTGGGACTGTGCTCTGCGGCGTAGAGGGGTCTCCAGGCAGGAGAAACATGTTGTTTCACAGGAGAAGTTTATTTCCAACACCTGGGGCTGGTTTATACCCAATGAACAGGGCATAAATGTGTTCTAGCCAGGAACTTCTTATGCATTTAATTAATTTACTGATTACATTTTCTTTTATAATCCTGGTTTGCTTAGACCTTTACGATTCTCCTTCCCTCTTTGTGGAGTAGGATTTGCAGCCGTTGTTACAGTTCCTCTTGGGGGAAGGATGCAGCAGTTGTTTCGTTTGGACCAGTTTTCATGTGTGTGGGTTGTGCAGGGGTGGGAGGTTGCCGTGAATCCAGGCAGTTGGCTTTACTCTAAGCAGTCCCACCCCAGCCATGCTCTGGTAGCTTCTACTTCTGCCATCAGACCAGACCAAGCCATTTTATTGATGCCTTCAAGCCTCACAAGCCGTTTAGAAAACAATTTTGCAGGATGGGCAGCGGCAGAAGAGCAGTGCTTTCGTTTCTGGCTCAGTTCTCCTGGGCAGGAATGCAGGATGTGGCTCTGGTGCCCGGCCTCGGGCTCTGGCAAAGGAAGGAAGGTCAGAGGGGCTGCGGGCTGGCACCGAGACCTCGGTGGCTGTTGGACAAAAAGCAGTGTGTGGTTTTGCAGGCAGCGTGGGAACCATCACCTAAAGCTGATGGATTTTACTGTCAGGTCTCTGCAACCTCTTGGGAGAGCAGGGATGTTGCTTTGGTATCCTTGCCAAGCTCCAAAAGGAAAATCATAATTTTTTTTTCCCTCTTTAAATGTCTTGTGGACCTTGAGCTGACTTAATAGCTTTCACTTCCTGAGCTAAACTTGAGTGCTGCTGTTGGCTGTTAAGGCTTTGCATCATTTCACTTAGGGCTTTTCCTTACTGGATATGTGGTTCGACATTCTTTGGGGTATAAAATCGCTATTTTGGCTTTTAGCCCCTGACATTTTGTTCAGCCCTGGCCTGCAGGGACTGCTCTGGGGCTAACTTCAGCTGTGAAATGCTCTTCAAATGCTTGAGAGTTGCTCCTGGTTACGGCAGTGTTGAGCTTGGCTGGCTGGGTTGTGACATGCAACTGGAGTTGCCCGGTGGCCTGAATGCCACCAGCCACCCTGTGCTCCCTCTGCTCTGCTGATGGATCCACACAGACCTCCAGCCCTCCCAGCCAACTGGAATGTCTGCTCCTCTCCCGGTTACGCCGCTCCCGGTTGGGGATGGCAATATCCAACTCTCAAACCAGTTGGAGGCCACTGGTTGGAGTCCTTTATCACTGGGAGAGGAATGAAATACACTGTGTGCCAGCTCGTGTCTCCTCTTAACCCTGATGTGAGTGGCCAAGCAATTGCATTTGGTGGCAGGAGGTGGCCGAGCTCTCACCTGTTAAACTCGCTTCTCAGACAAACTGCCTTTATGTTTAGGGCCCTAACGGGGTTGCACAAGAGAGTGAAAACCAGAGGTACCAGGGTGCTGAGCCAGAAATCAGCAGCTTTTTCTCCTTGGCAGTAAAGACTTTGCCTCCCAATTTGCCTCCTCGAAAGGCGGGCTGCGGGTTTGGAAGACGTGAGGTTTGGAAGAGCTGTTAATTATGGGATGGGCTGTTGCTTTTTAGATAGTGTCCCTGGTTAACAAGAATAGTTCTGCTGGAAATGGATAAGATTCTTAGGAGGGTTTGTGCTTTATCTGTCGTGCAGAGGGTGGTGCTGAAGTTTATCTCTGCGCAGCTTCCTTAGCATAATTATTCATTATTGAACCATTCCTTCAAGGTGGGGCTGGTTTTACAGTTTTTTAGAACATTTTTTCCCCTTAATGTTATGTTTTTCCCTAAGGGGGATTTCCCCTTCCCCCACTTGAAAAACAAATAGGATTATCATTACAGACTTTTTCCAAAATTCAAAGTAATTTTTCAGATGCTTTCAGGCCCATCTTTGTTTAAAAGATGTAAAATAATCTAAAAGATGTAAAAGATGTACAATCATCTAAACGATGCCGTTTTAATAAGGTTTAAATTCTCTTTAGTCATATGCATTTCTTACTTGAGTGAAAACCTGAAGCAAAGCCGAGGCTTCCCCACTAGAATAAGAAGGGGGTTGCATATCAGCAATTTGTTTTGCTTCTTTGCTTTAAGCAGATGGATCTGTCCCAAAACCCTGTGCATCACCAGGAGGGGTTTGGGTGGGCAATACTTTTAGCTGACATCTCCGACGGGTGGAAAAGAATGAGGGAGAGAATGAAGTTCAGCATCCATTGGAGAGGCATAATATGTCCTTCTAGATGACGTTCCTGGTGAATAGGACTGTATGATTATATGGCCTGGGTATTTCAAATTCTGCTGGGAGAGCTTTGCAGCTCGGAGATAATGGTGGCGGCGGCGGCAGCTCGCTCGTACTTCCCCATCGCGTCGCTTTGTGCGCTTCATGTTATTTATTTGCTTATCTGGTGCTGATGAAATTTCATCAGCCCTATTGTAATGGGTTTAAATCTCAGCCCTGCCAGGCCTGGGAGGGCAAGCGGCAGGAAAGAGGGGCAGGGCTGGAGAGAAGGGTATCTGTTGAATGGGCATTTCTTCAGCTGAAAGCAAGATGCTGTATGGGAGCTGGGTCCCCCTCCCTGCCCCTTGGCTCCTGCCAATTTGAGGAGTTTTTTGTTCTTTTCCACCGTGGCTGAGGTGACTCTGCTGCAGACGCAGTGGGAGGACGTTGTGCTTCATCTGCTGGGAGATCCTTCTGCAAACCAGGCATCAGCCCCCAAAATCACCATCTCCAGGTGAATGAGCATCCAGGGCGTTTTGTAACCCTTTAGACAGGTTTTTGGATGCTCTCAGGGTGCTGTTGAGTGTTTTTCTTGCTGGGTCTTTGTGGCTTTGGCTTGTGTTTTTTTCCTTGTAATAGAAAAGGCAGCTCTTCCTCTCTCATCTCTGAAAAATTAATGGCTGCATCCTCCTGAGCCCACCTCTGGTCCTCCAGCTCTGAGACGGCTGAATCCTGCCATGCGTGGAGCTCGGTGGGAACGGGGGCTGTCTCTGCAGACAAGGCAAGACAGTTTTTTCAGCTTCTCTGAAAAACACCCGGCCGTTCTTTTGTGCTGAAAAGCCCCCGTTGCTGGCAGGTCAGCGGGAAGCAGGGTGACAGTCAGCCCCGTGACCAGGCCACCCCATGTGCCCGCCAGCAGATCCACCAGCCTTTGCTGAATCACGGCTCGCTGTTGTCGTGCCAGGGATGTGCGCGGATGCTAAATGCTCTATTCAGAGGAAAAAGTGGAAAGTCTTTGGCTGTGTCTGTCCCCAGAGCCAGCAAACGAGCCTCCGGCGAGGTATGCAAAGCTCTCTAGCTGTCAAGCTAGGAGTCCTCCCTGGATGGTGTCCCGGAAAATTCTTGTCCAGAGGCAGGAAAGGACTAAACGTATCTTTCCAGGGAGATTGGGGGAGACACTAATTGCTTTTCTCAAAAAAAAAAAAGGTGGGAGGAAGAGAGAAAAGGGGGCAGAAGAAGGAAACAGTAAGCCTGATTTAAATCCAGTGCAGCAGACGTGTGAGTGGTTTGCCTCTGGGTCTGCAGTTGGGAAGTGAAGATGTTAACATCTGTAGGTGTTCAGTGAGCTGAGCTGGTCTGGGAGGAGCACTGGTTGTGACTGGGGTAGGAACTGCTTCTCCCACCAAGAGACTGGGCAGCACGTGGGGAAAATGCACCCAGTGCCGTGGGGGCGTTTGGGACAGAGGGTCACTCTTCTGTATGTACACACACACACACACACACACGTATGAACAGTACATTCGTGTGTCATTTTACACTCATGTTTGGTATGAACAGCACATTCGTGTGTCATTTTACACTCATGTTTGTGCCCAAGTTGCTTTTGTGCCCTGTGCACTAAGTTAACATTATATTTTAGTATTTCAGTGCTAAGAACAACCTGTAAATAATACCAAGTGGCCAGATGAGACCAGGGTGTAATCGCTATGATCCTTTGAGCTCTGGAAGGAGGGCAGCCATACATGTTAAGAATGAGGGTCCACTGTTTTGGTGGGTTACCACCCAAAAATTGGGGCAAAATTTAGATATTTAATTCTTTCCTATTCTATAGTTCCATTTTTATGGGTGATTTCCTTTCAGGACAAGTTCTTAAACTTGATACAGGTCCGTCAAATGGTTTTGTAGCTATCTAAGGCAGAAATTAAATTGCATAGTCATCTTGCTAAGGCTTAAAAAAAGCTGGGTGAGAGATCTGGTTACCAGGACTGGGGTTTCTCTTGCATAGTTCCATATATCCAGTTAATTTATTACCAGCAAACAAAACCACATGAGTTTACTTCCTTTCAGCTGATAACCTGAGCTTCATTGCTGGGTTCATTCGCTCCTGACGGTCACGGCAAATGTGCGATTACACTAATAGCTGGTTATTAATCACTGCCAATGGCTGTAATTATATCAGCTATTAGGAAGTCAACTAAAAGCAGTGTCTGTCCAACCAGCACGGAGAATAGGAAGAAACACGGTCCCTGCTTCACAGAAGCGGATAATGTTTGTTGGCGACTTCATTTCCTTTTGCAGATAGAGGCATGATAGAAAAATAACTCTGAATTTTAGCACCTTTCTCCTTCCACTCCAGTGTCCAGACCTGTTCACTGTGCTTTGCTCTGCACCAGGGGGTTGGCTTTCTGAAGGATGTAGGGTTAAGCATCCTCTCAGACCCACAGCTGTCTTCTCTAAGAGCCCCTGATCCAAGTCCATCTCTGACGAGTCCTGGTTTACCCCTCTATGTCACTTCTGGATTGATTTCCAGATGATTGTTACAGCTGTGTGTCCCTGCTGGGTATCCATCTCTTGGATAGTCCTGGTTTACCCCTGTATGTCACTTCTGGATTGATTTCCAGGTGATTGTTACAGCTGTGTGTCCCTGCTGGGTGTATCCTCAGGGGTACAAGGCATCCCTTTCTGCAGCAGCATCACACCTTGCCAGCAGATACGTCTCTTGGGAGACTGATGAAATTGGCAAATGAGGAGTTTGGAGTGTGCAGCAGAAGTACGTCTGCACTAGTGATCACCTGTGACAGAACAGTGGCCAAGCAGTGTCCTGTGTGCACCAGGAAGGTCCTTTTGCTTGGATTATCTTAAATACTTGTGGAATTTTGATGTTGTAGCTGGGCAGAAGTTGCCTGTGTAATGGATGCAGTGACTGGCACGTGCTTTTGCTTGTGCAGGAGTAATTAGAACTTCCCTTTGTTCACAAGGGACATTTGCTCCTTCATATGTCTTTTATGCAAGATCCATGTTTTCCTTTTCGCTTATGCCCCCAGGTGATTTTTTTCTGTTTTGAGTGTGGATTGCTGTGACCTCTTGCACTGAGAGCTCAGTGCAGCTCTGCTGAAGAGTGGGGCAGTCCCTTTAGATCCCAGTTTGGCATCTTAGCACTTCATTCCTGCTGTCTTTCTCCACTTGATGATTGTGGGCAAAACATGCTCCTGGTGGATTTGGAGGCACTGAGAGTATTTCAGCACTGGTGTAAAACCCAATAGGTAACACATATCTTGAGCTGTGACCTTCCCCAAGCACCATGGTGTGATTTCAGAGCTCATTGGGGAAAGGGAACAAAGTAGGTATCTTCTTACAGTCCCTGAGGAGATGGCTGGCTGTTGTTGGCTGATTTAATGCGCCTGGGAATTGGCTGCCAAACCAAAATTGTCTCATGAGCAATAGATGGGAGGACACTGGCCGGGCTCCGGATGAAGGCCTGTTGAGATCTTGCCTGATGGATGTTTGTTTTCACTCTCCTCTTCAGGTAATTTTGCTGACAGATACTGGAGCAGCATCAGGACGTCACCATGATGGAGGATCACGCAGCTGGCCAGGAGAAGCACATCCCTTCAGGTGAGCACCTCCAGGAGGAGATGGTGTAAAGATGGTCCTGCCTTGCCCACTGCTAAGAGGATGACCTAAACGGGGAGAGTGGGGTCCTTGGAGATGGTATGTGTGTCTGGCATGTTGCCATGGACCAGCTGGCTGCAGCCAGTGGATGGTGGGTAGCCCACAAGGTGCTCTGATGTCCACAGTTCTAGGAAAATGCTGCTCTTTGAAATCTTTGAGCAGAACAACCCCCAGCATCCAGACTAGCGAGGATCTTATTGCTGCAGCTTTGCCACTGTATGTTTCTGTTGTTCACTCCTCAGTTTGCTATAAAAATTCAGCACTGCTTTTTATTTGGAGACACAGCTGCTTGCTGCCTGCTTTTCTCACCTGCACAGGGAGATGGGGAGAACCGAACAGAGAGCTCTGGGAGTGGGGCCCATGTCTTCCCCCCCCATATTTCAGACCTGAATTTCTCAAGAAGCTTTTCCTTTCTCATTCCACCACACTCCACAACTGAGCTTGGAACCCCACGTAACACCAGCACACCTGGTGGCACTCACTCCCGGCTATGCTTCATATAAACATCATCTTAATTTTCTTTTCTTGAGGTGTTTTGGACACAGCTTACACCAGATAAATGGATTGCTTCTGTCCTGAGGAGAATCCATAGCATCCATTCATCCCAGGTTCTGTAACGCATTGCAGTCTGGTAGCTCCTCTCAGCTTGTAGCCTCAGCTTCGCACATCGCAGGTTCCCAGGGATTTTGCTTATATTAGTTTGAATCTTCTTTTCCAAGTCATTTTCTCCAGCTCTTATTATTTTATTTGCCCAGCCTCCTTGCAGAGAGGAGACTTATCCCTCTTGCCCTTCTCTTCCAAAAGATGGCTTTTGCAACCAAGTCTTCGCGCAGTACGTTATGTGCTATAGCAAACTCTTTACAAAGACTTGCTGGTTTGCAATGATTAGAATTAACGCATCGTGGAAGTGTTCAGCAGCCTGCTAATGGCTCCAGAAATGGCAGAGAGGACAACAGTGACCAGAATTTGTACATCTTTTTCTGCTTACGTTGCTAAGATCTCCTTTCCTGCTTGTGCCATGCTTTGCTATCCGGTTCACTGGGCTTTTCTTTTGCTGATGGGTTTCCGCTTGCTCCTTTTGGTGGTGACACTGGTGCTTTTGGTTGGCATTTTCACGCTTTGCTTGCTTATTAGTTCAGGTGGTTTATACTCTCCGATAACACTTTCTTGCTGGTGTCGACCTGGGCAATCAGAGTTCGTAACTCACAGGCCGTAATTCAAAGCCAAGGACTTGTTCTAAGTATTTGAATGTTTTCCAGGCTATCCCCTTCAGATACCAGTCGATGATGGATCGGATGAGCCTGTTTCTGAAACATCTGACGCTAAGAGCACCCCAACTACGGAAGGTGGGAGCTCTTTGACTTACTGCTTTGAAACCATGATGGATGGGGCCGTGGTATAAACCTTGCTGAAAGACTCGCTGTGCCGTGTTCTGGTGGGGTTTCTGAGGAGGAATGTCAGCTCTCTTGGACAAACGCTCTTCATTAGTCTCATCACAAGCGATGGTTGCCACTCTGCAGAATGAGATAATGAGCTTTAAAGGTGGAGAGTGGGTTGGAAGGCAAGAGAAAGTGAAGTGTTAATTACAGTTCAGGAAGTTGCTTGCGGTTTGTTTCCTGATGGCTTTTCATACAGTGACTGTTTGCTCCTGGGAGCAATCCCATGTTGTGTGCTCCCAGGGCCAGAGGTTTGCACCACTCTGCTCCCCCAAAATACTCACAGCACATCTTGATCACTGTGTTCCCTTCCAAACTTAGTTGTACCTCATAGCTCTTTTTTTGCCCCTCTCTGTATTTATATGTCCCTTAGTACAGCATGATTCATGCTGGAATGATGGGATGGGCGGAGTCTACATATAAACCAAAACTTTGAGCTGATGTAAAGGCCACTTTGGTAGGACTCAGGGCATGTCTGTGCTGCTCCAGAGTGTTACCTGAATGATTTGTTCACTGTTTTAATTAACTGCACTTTTTGTGCCTCTTGGAGACTTTGGCTAAAGGCATTAGTTTGCAAATTTATCTGTAAGAAAGGTGGACAGAGATGCTGACCAGTTCCAGCCCTGTCCCACTGGAGGTGTGGGCCATGAAGTGGCTCTGTTCTGCGTATGTGGCTCAAGAAACCAGTATGTAAAACCTGGCTGGTGCAGAAGAGCATGTTGTCCCTCTTTCCAGTTGGATTGGGACTGTCATGACAAGCAGACATCCCTCTGGTGGATGGAGCCAGGTCTCTGTCTGTGTCAGAGCTGCCCAGAGTGCGAGGGAGTCAGGGTGCTCAGGTGGTTTATGAAGGGATCTGATGGGAGCTGATCTCTCCAGCTCCAGACAGAAGTCCCCGTGCAGATCAGGCATCAGCCACTGTCATTAGGTGTGCATTTTCAGACAGTGTTTATGGAAAAGCCTCCAGCTGCTTAAGGAGTACACTGGAGATTCGTTGTTTGTGTGGCAGAGGGGACAGCTCGTGGTGTCCCTGTGATACTGGCTTTGCTGTGTCATTTTCAGTCATCTCCCTCCACAAGCGCTGGCTCCAGGGAGGGAGCTGGGTGCTTTTTGAGCAAGATGCTCTTCAGGCACGTCCTGGCCTCCACAGGGCTTTGCCACTCGACGGCTGTGTGAAAGCTGCGTTGTTTTTCAGATGCCACAGCACCTTTAGTGGAGGAAGGAGACCACGAGGATCAGGGTGGTGTCGAACAGCACGGGGAGATCCCAGAAGGAACCACAGGTGAGGGAGACCAAGGTGCAGTTTCATCTCTTGATGCAGACAAAGCAGAGAGCTGGGCCGGTTACTGCTTTAAAATAATACTGCAAAACTTCTCGCAGGCTTGCTTTGCTCCTGATGCGTGCTTCTTTCTTCTCTGTAGCCTGCAGAAATAATTCCCAAGCTTACAGCCCTCCTCTTGCCTTCCTCATCCTGGGGGAAGCTCGGCAGCCTTTTTCTTTTCTCTTTCTCAGCTCCCCATCTGACAATCTTTCTATCTGGTCTCTCTGTGGTTGGCTTCGCCTCCCATCTCCAGGCTAAAAGAGCTTTCCTGCCGATCCCTGGTCATCTCTGCCCCTCTGCCAGCAGCCCTGCTTTGCTGGCGAGGAGGGACGGTCACCGCAGGACCTTTGCTGCTTGTCTCTCTGGAGCTCTCGCTCAGCCCGGCCCCGTGCGCTTGTCTTTGAAGCGGCAGGTGAAAACCAGGCCACTGCAGCAGTTCTTTGGCTGCCGGCGTGTTTTAAGGATAATGCAGAGGAAGCCAAGTGGCTCATTCAGCCTGAACGCTCCGTGGGGAATCACTGCACCTGGACCTGGTTTTTCCAGTCAGGGCTGGGGGTCTTGCAGAGGCAGAGGGAAGGGAGTGAGCTGCAGCAGTGCTGTGTGTGTACAGGAGGGCAGGAGCTCCTGGGAGAGTCAGGTCTGTATGTGAAAAATGAGTATATGGCCCCTGTGTGGTAGCTTTTCCTGGAAGCATCAGGCAGGTGGTGGGTGGAAATGGGCTTGTCCCAGTGCCCAAACACTGAAAAGCCCACAGCACGCTCCTTGGGCAGCCAAACTGTCTCCTGCATCCAGTCCCTGGGCTGCTGGTAGAGCCCTGGGCTGAAATGCAGGGTGACTCGCCTGCTAGCAAGGGTGCTAACAAGTCTCTGGTTCAAGATCTGACTGTACCAGGGAGCCAGGAAGAAGCAGTGTCTCCTGAAGTCTTTGGAAAAAAATGGGGAAAACAGAGAAAGTCTTAGTTTGACTGTAGAACTGTGACATACAAATATAGTTGATGAAGCCTGTTTGAAAGTAGTCATATAATAAATTCAGAAAATTCTGGGAGAGACAAACCATTGTGACTGTGAAGAAAACTGTGGTTTTCTAATGTCCTGGTATTCCTGAAGTGTCAGACTGATACCAGACTGATTTCCTGGTGTCAGATACCCTCGGCAGAGTTCATTACGGTTGAGTAGGTGGTAGACACCAAGAAGGTAGGGCTCAGGTAAGAGACATTCATGTGAGTGCTGCTGGCAGTGTAAATGCTAAGTGGGGGTAGGAGAGAGGATACAAATCCACAAGTTTCTCTGCTCCTTAACGGCCTTTTTTCTGCACCTCTGCCCGAGGGAGCTTGTACTAACCTGCCACCCAGGGTGTGCGAGTTGGTGAAACCCTCTTCCAGTCTGGTACAGCACAAGTTGAATAAATCTAACTAGATCCACCGTCGGCATGGGTTGATTTCCTGATTCCCTTTCTGATACTGCCCTGCTCATAATACAGCGCCGATGGGCAGAATCAGCAGGGAGGTAAATGAATCCCCCAGGCACACGCTTAAACTTAACTCCTGTTTTGATCATGTTTTTCCCATTCTTTTCTCTGAACTGGGACCAGCTGAAGAAGCGGGCGTAGGAGCCACCCCCAACCTGGAGGACCACGCTGCGGGAGATGTCCCTCAAGGTCAGTGAATCATCTGTCGCTGGGGTCCAGTTATTGCTGCCCACACCTGTGGCTGGGTTTTACTGGGAATTTTCTTCCGTAATGCAAAAGCTCTGCACGATACGAGCAGCGGTGCCGTTCTGCCTTCTCCTGACAGGGGAGGGCTGTACATGCTTTGAATGTTCCATCACACTCATTTCGGGGAGCTGTGACTTTTCATGCACCAAATTTCTCTCTCAGATGGCTGAAGCCCTGGTGCTTCTTTGTCCAGTTGGAAAACAGGGCACCCTCTGGGCTAGAAAAGGGAGTAAACAGAGCTGGGATGGTGCAGTTATCCAGGAGGAACTGCTCAGCATGAACAGAGCCAGTTTTGGGCCCTCCATGTCACACATGAAAGAAGCAAATTGTTTCTCTGTGTCTCTTTCTAACTCGACTCATGTCTCAGACCTACTCACTGATGCCCTCACTTTAACATGAAGGGTCTTTTTTTCTCATCCCAGTCTTAGGGACTGTGACTGCCAAAGCCAGGCATGGTGGGCAGTGCGTCTGCTCAGATGAGCCAAGAAATTATCCAGGAACCTCCTGGCTTTCCGAAAACTCTCTCTTGACTCCGCTTAGGTCAGACTTGACCGAAAACTTCAGGATGGGATTTTTGCCAAGCCCCCAGTGCTGGCTTAATTCTGTGCCCAATGGGGCCAACTTATGTGTTCAAACTCCCTTTGATAGAGCTGTCCTGATAGCACTGATACACCATAGCGCTAATTCGGTGCGCTGGTTAAAATCTTAATTAAACCCCGTTTTGTAAGGTAGTTTTCTGCACAGTAGACATAACAAATTCCTCCAGCTGCTTGGGCAGCATCTTTCCTCCTGATGGCTGCATTAGTGCATTTACAGACATCTGTGTCTTTTAAAGAAGTAAATAGGTCTTTGTCTTCTTGGCTCAGGGCGGAATTCAGGTTGTCTTTGCTTTCCCCACACAGATCAACACAGTTTTGCACAGTCTGCTCCCTGCTATTAAAATAAAACCTTTCCTTGCCTGTCCATTGGTTTTTGGAGTAACAAAATAGTGGTGGCACTACAAAATAGCAATCAGGACTGTTAGCAGGAGGAGGGAGTGAAGTTCTCTTTCCTGTCTGCAGTGTTCAGTCTGGTTCTAACTGCTGTTTCTCACCAGATATTAAGATCTTTCTGTCCTGTCCTGGGATCTTTGAGCTGTCAGATACAAGCACATACACTAGCTGGAGCTCTGATCCAACCTATATATGACATTTCTAGTTTCTTACGTAAATTGTTACTTCTCTGAAAGTGGACTTGTAATAACACACTGCTTCCTTCTAATGGTTCTCTGATTCAGAGGAAAATGTGATTATCAGTACACGCACACAGTCTTGGATATCTTCTTACTACATACCTTCATTTTTCGTGTTGTGAGATTTGAAAAAATGATCTTTGCAGTGAAGATGGAGCGTGTTAAAATGCCTTTGGAGTCTCAGGTGGAGAAACATCTTCTGATTCTCAGTTTTCGCTCTGCTGGCGCTCTCCCAGCTCTTGACCTTGTGCTGCACGTTGGCCTCAGAAGCACTGACAGGTCTGGCCGTATGGAAGCACAGCTAATTAACTGCCTGTTCACGTCTCTGCACTGGCGTCGTTAATGGTCCTGTTGGTTGTTTACAGAAGAAATGAGCCAGGACGCTCTGCTGGCTACTACATAAACACCCTTCAAATCCCCATGGTTATAAAAGGTGTTTCTTGGTGCCACGTTTCAAATATTACCTGCCAGTAGGTGCCAATTTAAGATTTCTCTTAAACCATGATTTCTGAGGTCTTTGTGTGGTAGTTTCACTGAACCATTATGGTTAAAGCGGGGAGAACATTGATAAAAGGCTGAGTCAGTCTTGACTTCTTTTCTTGTTTTGATCTTGTTTGTTAATCTAACAAAGCAACGATTGAAATCTCAGTACTGAAGATCTACTCTCTGATCTATGCTCTTTATTTCACCTGATCAGCGCTCAAAAAGACCATAGAGTATTTGAAGCTGGACAAATTCATAATATAAGATGCTCATTCTTACTAGGGCAGTTGACTTTAAAGCAATTTACCTATATGTAGGGTGAATTCTCTGTTGCTCGGTGCATCTTTGCTTCAGCTGAATGATTTTCTAACAGAAAAGCTCCAGCTCAACCAGAATATATGGCTTAATGCAGCAATTGTTGGGTGAAATTGTAAAGGTCTGTGTCATGCATGAGATCAGCGATGGAACATAATTCTCTCTTTTACCCCCCCCCAAAAAAGAGATCTGTGTCTCTGTGACCTTAAGTTTTGGGTTTGAAATGTCACTCTTTCTACTCTGCCCAAATGATGGCAGCAGTGCTGGAGCTCTAATTAGCCCAAGTGGTTGCACACTCCGAAATTGCTGTTGCCCTGTGGCTACAGCCACATTTTTACTTATAGTCCTTTCCTCTGAGGCTGCCTGCTCCGCTGGCTGCTGAAACCCACAGCAATAAGAGAGGAGGGATAGGAGTGCTCTTCCCCAAGCTCATTAGCGATGGAAATGTTCTGGAGAACAAAGCAGAGCTGGTTTGAGCTCTGGGGGGATGTAACTGGTGCTGTGTCGGCATGAACATCTCCTGCAAGGGGGGAGAGGACTTGAGGGACTTCATAAGCCCGTGGAAGAGGGGACGGTGTCTGGCCTGTTTTGTTGAAGCCCTTGAGGCAAGAAGAGATGGTCACTGACCAGCAAAGTGATGGTCTGGTGGTGTTAGATTAGAAAATGGGTGTGTTTTTGGCTTCTGAAACCCTCTATAGCTAAACCAGCAGCACATGTTGGCCTTTATGGCACAAGCCTGGGACACCCCAGCCACCCCCAAGACCAGGTCCAGGGGGAAATCTGGTCTCCCCCATGCTGGGGCTGTCAGTGTTCCTCATTCCCATGGGGATCAGAGCTTCTTTAAAGGCAAAAGCTACTGTAGAAGTGTGTTGTCTGTTCAGTGGGGCAGTGTGGGACTTGCTTTTTTCCTCTAGATAGTAGAAATCCTTAGTCTCCCTTCAGCATTACGTGTCTGACTATTATTTGACGTGCCTGTGCTAATTGTTTGCCCATGCTTCGGACCCTGCATCTTCCAGGGGAGCCAAGCTCTCTAAAGCTACAGCCTGGCCCTCAGGAACGTGTGGGAGATGCGATAAAAAGAGAAAACCAGCCCATAAAGCAGGGAGCTGGGGTTCTCCAGCAGCCTCTTCCATCACATGAAACGAAGGCCACAACAGCAGCTCCCACCAGAATCGAGGTCACCATCCCAATACCTCTGGATATGTACCAAGACTCCAGAGCATCCGAAGACAGCAACGAGTTGTGGGATCAGCGAGGCAGAGAAGGCATTGGTGTGGATCCAGCCCTGGGAGCAGAGCTTGGTCGTGATGTGTGCACTGAGGGCTTGGCAGGAGCAGGTGGCACAGATGGCTCCCGTATTAAAGATGGGCCATCTCCTTTGTGTACCAGAGCCCCGTTAAAAGAAGATGCCAGTGGACGGGAAAGAGATGAGGACCGTGATATTGATGAAACTTCTCAACAGGATTTGCTTTCCCTGGTGGGACAGCATGTTTCACCAGGACCTGAAACGGGCGTGTGTCCAACAGCAACCAAGGAAGCTCTTGAAGAATATGAAGAAAACAAGTCCAAAGAAGTCCTCAGAGACATACCAGGGGAGGCGCTTCTTGTTGAAGCTGAATCTCATAAAGCAGGAGAGGACCAAGAGGAGAGGAGAGAGCCATTGAAGGGAGAAGAAGACACAGATGTCACCCCATCAGAGCCTTCTGAAATCATCTCCCCAAAAGAAGCTGAGCCTGGGGAGGGAAAAGATTCTGGACCCTTATTAGAAACAGCCAAACTCCCTTGTGAATTAAAAGATTACGTGGAAGACAAAGATGCTGCTTTGGAAGAGGCCGTGCCAGATACAGGAGAATGCCGGACGCCCAAGAAGAAACCTGGTGGCCAAGTTGCCGATAAAGCCGTCAGTCGCGTCCCTCTCCTAAAAGGTGTGTGCAAGGTTTGCCTGCCCTCAGCTCACGTGGCCGGTGGCTTGCTCACCACAAGGGCTGCCTGAACGAATCCTTGCTGCCACCTCTCCAATCCTGCTGCTTGGGACATGGCCTGGAAATTTGCTGTGAACTGATCTACAAAACGCCGCTGCTTCTTCCTTCCCTTCCTCCCCTCTTTTAGTTTAATCCTGGATGTCCCGGCGTGTTTCCCAGACCCTTATGCTTCGGTTTTGCGTCCCTTGCATGGTGCTGGCGTGTCCCTGATCATGCTTTATTGACCTGGTTTTGGTTTGATTTCCTTGGATCTGTGGGGTGGGCGCCTTAACTCCCACCTGGCACCTTCCTGGAGAAGATGAAGATGGGATGGACCTTGTCCTGGCATGTTGGAGTAGGACTAACCCCGCATACGCTGCAGCTTCTTCCAGCAAGACACATCATCTGGTTTGCATGTGTCCACTCTCCGCTCCAATAACTCTTTGTATTGGCTTTCCTAAAGTGAGAGCCAAAACGAGCAAGTGAGATGGCAGGTCTAACCATGGAAAAAAACCCCACGTTGATCCTATTCCTTGTACTTTTTCCCTTAAATAACCACTACTGACTGCTGTTGGAGGCAAGGTCTGCAGCTGGCTGGACCTTTGCCCACTCCAGGGCTCTTACAAAGCATCCTTCTCCCATCCCAGTTCTGGACAGTGTGTCCCTGGGTGGTCCAAAGTGATGGGAGACCTGGCTTTTGGGCACATCTAACACTGTGTGTGAGTCTAAACTGGGCTGGAAGTGCAGCAATCTCAGTTTTAGCCGTCTTGGGTGAACCTCTTGAGTTCACCACACAACCATCCCTGCCAGCAGAGCAGCTCTTAGACCTTTTTCTTTCTTTGAGAGCTATTTTCCATCTTTTCTGGGGGGTCGGAGGGGTGTCAGCAGGAACCCTGCTCAGTGGCCAAATGCAGGTTTTGCAGTGAGTTGTCTTAAACTGGGACAGGAGGACACGTGTTAAAACCTCAGGTCTGGCTTGTCCAGGGCCTGGCCTGGGGGCTTGAGGTGCAAAATCCCAATTCCAATCCCAAAAACTGGTTTGGCTTCTCCCATTAAGCCTGGAAATCCCTCTCGCCGCCTCTCTGGTTTGCAGTAGGGAGCAGCGTGCTCTTTGCATGGGGCAGGGGGGGTGATGAAGAAATTGTTGATGGAGCTTTTTTTCCCTTGGAGCTAAAGCTCATCATAACATATTTCTCGTTTGTTCGCTACCTTAATTAGCCAGCGGGGAAGCTTCGCACACGGTGCTGCAGGGCATTGGCATGGCTTGCTGTATCTCCATCATCAGAGCCTGAAAACGATGGGAGATTGGGGATGCATTGCCCAGAGCCAACCAGTTTCTGACTCAATAGGAGGAATTTCTTTAATTATCATAGAATCATAGAATAGTTAGAGTTGGAAGGGATCTTAAAGATCATCAAGTTCCAACCCCCCTGCCATGGGCAGGGACACCTCCCACTAGACCAGGTTGCTCAAAGACCCATCCAGCCTGGTCTTAATTAAAAATAAAATAATTATTTAATGGTCTTTTCCTTCAGGCAGAGATACTTTCTGGCTGTTCAGCTCCAATCTGGAGTTTGAACTGGATTTGGGAAGGGGGATGCATCCAGCAGCTCTGGGATGGGTCGGGGTCCTCAGTGCTGGGTTAACAACATTCTTCGTGTCACTGGGAAAGAGCTGACCCCCCCCCCCCACTCCCCGGGCCAGGTTCCAAAAAA